CCTCAGCTGTATTTATGAGCCCTTAGATAACGGGAGGGGAGCACGGTAATTGGGTCAAGGCCGACCGCAGGGAGGAGAGCAACCCGTTACCAAACAGGAATAGATTGGGAGGGAGGGAGCCGCCGGGATTTAATACGCTCTGCCTACAAACAGGTCAGCACCTGCCCTTCGGTATAGGTCTGCAGCGGGGTCCTGTCCCTTCGCGTGTTGATGACGGAACAACCCTCATTCGACGGGGAAGGTCATCCGCAGCTTTTGCGCGTGTGCGAGACAATGGCTGGTGACATCATGCCAAATCTTCCGCTGTAATCCCCTGTTAATATTCCGGAGAGCGAGAGGCTCTTGATCACCGTACAACCACCTCGCCGACCCCAACGACCTCTGCGGACTGCTCTCTTCGGTCAAGCCCAGTCAGGTCACAGGCCCTTGACCTGACCACCAGCGGTCCCGGCTGCCCGTCGGGGACGCGCCAGCTGGCGTGCCCGTCACAGGCGCGTGTTTACCCCCCGGCCGCATGGCTTGTCCGCGCGCGGGCCAGCGTCCAGCGGCGCCGGAGGTCGCCGAACCCTGCGAAATCCTGGACCCGGTATTGGATTGCCGAGGCCGCCGGCGCGGTCACGGTTCGACCGGCTGCTGGCCTCCCGCGCCCGAAGGTCGCGGTCACGTGGGTGTCGGGCGGCGGCGCGTCACGGCCGAGCAGGTGCGCCGTCTGGCGGCGAGCCAACGATCTGGTCCCCTCCCCTCCCCCACCCCCTCGCATCACCCCCCGGCCGGCACCTGGGCGGGGGTCATCTGCACCGCAATGTGGTGAAGGATGACAGGGGGTTGACGACCGTACGCACTCGGGAACTGTGCGCCTCTTGGACTTTTGAGCCATCGCGTCAGGCGCCACAGTGACGAAGACATCTGTTATTTTGTGGTGCAACTCATTCTGACGCGCGCGTGAACGCGAGCGTGTGCCGACATCTCAACCGACTTGGCGGGGCGCACAGCCGTTATGGCGACGAACGCGACAAGCGCGACGGCGTCGTGGCCGCGTCGCACTGCATCCCACTCTCGTCGCCCTGGCAGCCAATGCGCCACGGCTTGGCCTCGTCGCTGCGTCACGCACGCGGTGTGGTAGGCGCTTGCGCAACCCCTCCCCCCTCCTCCGCCATCGGCCCTGCATCTGCGTACGTGTCCGCCCCCATCGGCAACCATACCCCGGGAGAGGGGGTGGGGAGGAGCGTCACGGCCGCCATCGATGGTCAGGTCCGACGCCCGCTTCCGGGTTGACAGCGCCTGGGCAGGCGCCGCGGGGTTCCGCCCGCGCCCCGCTCGCGCCCGTAAAATGTCCCGCCGGCCGACCCTGGGACGAGACATGTGCGTCATTCGGCGCGCCGCTCAAGGTCAGCGCCGGCCGGCAGGGTTCAACGACACGGCGAGGCGCGCGGAGCAGACAAAAGCGCGCGCCGGGCCGTTACCACGCGCCGCCGGAGGCCCGCGGCGCGCGGAACTCGTCCGTCCCCGGTGCATGTAAACAAACACCCTCCCCCCGCCGGCGACGGCAAACAACACCCCCGGAGGGCCCCGCGCGGCCCGCCCGAAGGGCAAGGTCATCCCGGCTGGCGCCCGGCCGGCCAGTTGTGCGCCTTTGCCCTACGGCGAAGTCGGCGCCCGACTCCCGCCGCGCCTTTGTGCCGGCTGCCAGCTCGCGCGCGGCAGTTGCCGCCAGGCTGGGCTTGTGTGGAGCGCAAGTGGAGCGCGCGCTTCGCGGCGCGCCCCGGCGGTCGCTGACCCGCGCCGCGCGAGCGATACGGAGGTAGGTCGCTGCCGCGATGCGGGCTTGGAGGGTGGCGGCGAGATATTGTGCCTGGTGTGCTCTCCCTGAGCGCTGCGGCCAAAAGCCCGCGGTCGACACCGCACCACGCGCGCGGCATGGTCGTGAACGTGCTTGCCTGCTAAACCTTTTGTGCGATTTGCGATGTCCGTGTGTTGCTAAGCTTATTCGCCGGTTCGCGATGACATCACACCTACGAAATGGCGCAGTCGTCAATGCCACGGTTCGCTCGTTCACGTGCAGCCACTGCCTGCCCCCTGCTGCATGGCCGAGCCGCCGCGTACTTTCCCGCAGGCGGCCATGTCCGTCCGCCTTGTATGTAGGTCAGGCGGCGACGGACGCCTGCCGCCTATAATCCGAGCTCCCACAAAAATACCTGCCAGAAGGTCGCCACGGCGGCCGTCGCGTGAGTCGTCCGAAACCGCGCGACGCGGAGCCCCCCTGCAGCATGTTGCAGGGCCGCTGTTGGCGGCGGCGGGGTTCAAGGTTCGCTCCCCCACGCCCGCAAGCCACCATGTGCGCGGAAACTCCAGCTCATTCATCACAGTCGGCGTATGCTCTGATTGGCCCCGGTGCTCGGCTGTACGTCACCTTGGCTTGTAAAGGGCCATTTCAGGGAAACGTAGCGCTGGCTCGATGTATTGAAGATATGGTCGTCATGGCTTGGCAACACGCCAACGACGATCGCTCTAGGCATCGGCGCTTGTCACGTAAAACGCCAGATTTTGGCCACGAGAACTGCGGAGCCACTGATTTTAGCAATCAATACTACAGAACATAGCAGTTGGATGGGCAGCCTCAAAAGGTGCGGGTCTGTATTTTGAGCTGCAGACACCTGGTTTTCGTCAGTCCGTTCTGTCGGCCCAGCTCCAGCACACACCGATTCGCGCTGAGGCCGGCTGCACATGCACCGGTGACCGTGACCCTGACCCGGCGGCGAGGTGCGCCGGGGAGGGGGAGGGGGAGTGGCGCGCCACACCCCCCTCACGTGCCGCGCCACACGCGCGACTCGCCAACCGATCGATGCGCTGCAACCTTGGCCGCCCCCCCCCCCTCCCCCATTCCCCTCCCCCGGTGGCCCAACTGCAGCGCGCTAATGCTCCGTTATCAGGAGGGCAGCGAGTCCATGTGGCCTCGGTGTTAACACGAACCCCCTACCCAGGCTGCGCACGCACCTCACATGGTCTTCCTTGGCCCCGTAAGGATTTGCGGTTCCGGGATCCATACATAAAAGTGCGTAGGTTGTACTATATGTTTCGCCTACGCTGTCATCCGATCCCAAGATAAGGCGCACACTTCCTCGTGTGAGCCAGCTCTGCGTCGACTCCGTGCAACCATAGATGGAAGAGATCGTTTGGCAAAACCGCACGCCGATCCTGCAAAGTAATCGGATGAAGGTCAACTCTTGCCAGAGTTCCTCCTTGAGCGCGCTTGCAGTCGCTCGGTCGCCAGACGAAAACGCTCCTCGCTGTCGTGACTCGAACTGCACAGCGTCTGGTGAGCGCTGCCGGCCGAGCAGTGACCTGCACCGGCCCTCGTCTGACGTGACGTCCCCCCGCAGATGCCGACCTCGGAGCTGGACGAGACCAGCTGGAGCGTGGACGACCTCTGCGAGGGCGAATTCGACGCGCGCGCTACCTTTCTCGTGCGCGACTCGCCGACCGGCGCCGACGCGCCCGATCGGGCGCGCGCCTCGCGGCCCAAGAACGTCATCATTAAAGACGGGGTACGTACGCGTGGAGGGGAGGGGAGGGTGGAGCGAGGTCCGGTGCAAGCGGTCGGGCCGCCCCGGGCCCCCGCCGGATGTGGTGTCGTTGCGTGCGTCGCGTACGGGTAAAAATGGCCGGCGGCTGAGGCCATACCGTTCGTAACCAGACGACTGCTGCCCGGCTGCGCCTCTGGATGTCACCCGGCTCCGTTGTGCCCCTGTTGACACCCTGTCCAACCGGTCGGGCCACCCCGAACGGCCGGCCTGTTAATGCAGCCGCCTTATGCGGCGAGCTGCTTAGCATAAAATGTTTTAAAATAGGTGCTGGGTCGGCTGCGTGGCGGTTTTTATCGGGTGTGGTGCCGGCTGTCTCTGGCTGACACTGTCTTAACCGACGCGTCTATTTTGGCAGGTTCCCGGGGTACGGGCCAAGATTGGTCTTCCAAAGGGCACCCGCTTCGGGCCTCTGGTGGGCGAAGCGCTCCAGAGGCACGAGGTGTCACCGACGGCAATCAAGAAATATTTCTGGAGGGTAAGCGAGTAGCTTGCTACGGCTGTGATGAAAACAATGGTGGTGGTGGTGACTGGGGCTTGGCGAGAACGTGTCCAGCCAGAAAAAAATGCTCGCCTATTGCAGTGCCGGGATTGAAACATCGTCTTTCTTGCCCAGGATTTCTGTCCGCTCTACTACCCTCACCGCTGGGAAAGCATCGCAAGACATCAGGTACCCTGGAAATAACACCGCTTCTTGGAAATGCATGAAAGCCTTCTTTCTGTGTCATGGCCATGTGGTCCTGCCAAAGCGCCGCGTGATCCAGAACCATGGTGCTTGCATGTGTGCCCTTAACATCTGATAAGCCATTTTTGCCAGATCCGTCGCGTCTTGCGTCATCACAACTCTCACCTTCAGCTAACCTCTCTGCCTACCTGCCTGGCCCGCGTTTGTTGAGGGGGCGCCTCGCGCCGCTGCATGCGCAGTTCGTGGCTGGCGGGTTTCCCTTTTGCTGGGATCCACACCTCGCTGGCGTCCTGAGCTGCCTGAGAGGTCCGTGCAGCCGCATTACGTAACATCAGAGGATGAAACAGACTCACTTTCAACCGCCTAAGCTTCGGGACGTGAATCGATTGCGTGGCGTTTGTGCCGCAGTGTTTGCGCCGCTCACGCCGCGTCCGTCGGCTGACCTCTGCGCGTCCGCTGCGCAGGTGTACACATCCAAGGACGACTATTACTTTCTGGACGCTTGCGACACCAGAAAGTCGAACTGGATGCGATACGTGAACCCGGCGTTCTCGCCCGACTCGCAGAACTTAGTGGCGTGTCAACACGAGGTAAGGACGTCACGGTGTGGCCCGGGTGCAGGGTAGCTCGCTGGCCCCGCCGGTTCTCCATCTGATTTGCCGGAGTGACTAAACCAGCTGGGGTGCTCACCTCGCGTGAAAAGTTCCTACTGCTACGTTAATGCGATCAGGACCTCGCTTTGCCTCAAAGCTGTGAAAGCGTGCATCAATGCAAACGCGCCTGATTTCCCAACCGGACCGAGTCTTAAAGGCTCTGCAGAAACGTCCTCTGTAGTGCGCAATCCTGACAGAATGCCATTGTTTCAGCAAAACATTTACTTCTACACGATCCGCGACATTCAGCCGGGCGAGGAGATGATGGTGTGGTACTGCCGCGAGTTTGCTCAGCGGCTGAACTACCCCGTGTCTGGATCGCTAATGCTCGACCAGATCCGTGAGTGATCTCGCTTCCGTCATTTGTTTACGGCTGACATTGACCTTGCTGCGCGGCACGAGGTTTAGGGGCATCGACCTCGATGGATTCCTCTGTATTGCGCAAGCCTTGCACGCCTGAGCTAAACCAGACGTGGGCATTGGATGCCATTCGTGCATTGGGTTTGCCGACTCGCTTTTTTGGTTCGGTCATGACAATATTAAAACGCGACAATCATAACGCTGGTAAGACAACCATTTGCTACTCATTTTAAGTCGTCTTGCTGACGTTGCCCATTTCTCTATCCTCAGAGCAACGCGTCAAGGTGGACCAGCCTTGCGAGCAGACGAGGCCCGAGGTCAAGCTGGAGCCGGCGGCGCCAGAGCGGGCCGAGTACGCGGCGCACACACAGATCTCGCCAGTGCGCTCGGACGAGGGCTACCTGAGCCACGAGTACCAGGACGACTCGCCACCGCACGAGCCCAGCAGCGACGAGGAGGCCGATAACAACTACGTGCTGGACTTCAGCAAGACGAGCAAGCGGAGGCGCGACGAGGACGACTCGCGCAACGAGTTCCGCAAGGTCAAGATCAAGATGTCCAAGGCGTACCACATCAAGTCGCAGAACGAGGCGGAGCGGCGCCGCCAGGACTCGTCATCAGCCGAGCCGCACGAGGAGGTAGCGTCGGCGCTGTCACGGCCCGCCGCCGCCGCCGCCTTCAGCCCGCCGCTGGCGAGTCCGCGGCACGCGCCCGAGCCGCGTCCGTCGAGCCCGGCGGCGGCGAGCCCGCGGCTGGCCGAGGCGCGCCCCTCCAGCCCCTGCACGCCGCCCACCTACCACGTGCTGAGCGCACCGGCGCCGCCGCCACCGCCGCCGCCGACAGTGCCGACGGCACCGCAGCAGTCGCACGTCAGCGGCGGCAGCGAGCGTGTGCCCGACCAGAGCTGGGTGTCGGAGGCGTACCGGGCGCCATTCTTCCGCGAGCGGCGAGCGGCGCGCTCGCCGGGCGCCGACTCGCCGTACCAGCCGGTCTCGGACAGCACGCAGGTGGGACGCGAGCCAGGGTCGCGCGAGTTTCAGGAGCGGCTGCGCCGCTACGGCGTCGACCCCGTGGGCGCGCGGCCCAACAGCAGCCTGCTCGAGAACATCCTGCTCTACAAGAAAGACGAGCCGCGCCTACTTGAGCCAGTACAGGTGATCGTTGCGAGCGACTCGACGCCCGCGCCCGACTCCAACACCTCGCCTGGCGGCTACTACTACCGCCACCCTGGCCAGCGCTATCCGGACTCGATGCAGCCGAGTCCGGACTCGAGCTCGGCACCGGCGCCGGCGCCGCGCCCGTCGGCGCCGCCGCCGGCGCTACCCGGCCCGCTGCCCACCTCCTCCACACCGCTGTACCCGTGCTTCCCGTCGTACCAGTACCAGTACGCACCGTACGCGAGCGAGGCGTACCCGGGGCGTGGCGACAAGTTCCCGAGCTTCGCGGCGTCGCAGCTGTCGCCGGGCGGGCTGAGCACGGCCTCGTCGGCGGCGAGCGGCGAGTCGGGCGGCGAGCAGCGTCCGCGCGGCTTCCGCTCCCTGCCCTACCCGCTGGAGAAGAAGGACGGCAAGATGCACTACCAGTGCAACCAGTGCCTCAAGACGTTCGGCCAGCTGAGCAACCTTAAGGTGCACCTGCGCACGCACAGCGGCGAGCGGCCCTTCAAGTGTGACGTCTGCAGCAAGAGCTTCACCCAGCTGGCGCACCTGCAGAAGCATAACCTGGTCCACACCGGTGAGTGTAGCTGGGCACTGTATGGACGGTGGGTGGCAGTTCTCAGGTGTTGTGGGGGTGGACGGTCAAACACATTAAATATGCGAAGGGTTCAAGCGTAAGTTGCTTTTGTCGAGTAGTTGCTGTTTGTCGTGTCCGTAGGATTGTCATATGCTTCTCGAATCGCGCTCACGATGAATACGTGCGCTTCGCATCCGTCGTTGCTCATCCAACGTCCTTGCCTCCCAGGTGAGAAGCCGCACGAGTGCCAGCTCTGCAACAAGCGCTTCAGCTCCACCTCGAACTTGAAGACGCACATGCGACTGCACTCGGGCCAGAAGCCGTACGTGTGCGACATCTGCCCGTCGCGCTTCACGCAATTCGTGCACCTGAAGCTACACAAGCGGCTGCACACCAACGAGCGGCCGTTCACGTGCGAGTCGTGCCACAAGCGCTACATCAGCGCGTCGGGCCTGCGCACCCACTGGAAGTCGACCACATGCAAGCCAACCGCCGAGCAGGAGCGGCAGCTGCGCGTTGGGCGCGAGGCCGGCGGCCGCAGCCCCGGCTCGCAGCCCAGCCTGTCGCCGCGGCCCGAGCTGGCGCTCAGTGACGTCAGCAACGACAGCGTGACGTCGGTGGTGGCCGAGGCAGCTGAGTGGGCCGGCCGCCAGTCGCCGAGCAGCTCAGTGGTGCCACCTGGCGGGCCGCCGCCGCCGCCGGCGGCGCCGCGCTACCAGCCAGCCGCGCCGCCGCCGCCGCCGCCCGCACGCCCCTCGGTCATCGACACCTCTCAGCTGCACGTCATCGAGTGCTCGTAGCCGGCGGCGACGCCGCTCCGCGAGCTGCGGCCGTTGATCGCGGCCAGCTCCTGCCGCCGATGCGACGTGGGTCGGCCGCAGAACGAGACCTTGGCTGTTTCGATGGCGACGTTGTGTATGTAATATTTCTGGTGACTCAGTTGCAAACTTCCGTGGCATTGTACAGTATTCTTTACACTTAATGCTTTTACCGTGCTTATCGTATCGCTGTTTTCGCGTCTTGGAGGGACTGGATAGCCATAGGTGCAATATGATGTAGAGATCTTCGATGTCGGGCGTAGATTTACTTTTGAGACGCTGTCGATTTTTCAACGAGCATGATTCTGTAAGCAATAATATGTGTATGCGCCAGAAAATGTAAATCAGTTGGTGATACTCACGACATTGATGTTGTACAGGCCCCGACTAAATGGTATACAAGGTCGCAAGCATGGTAGGCAACGCCGACCTAAGCTCAACTTTACGATGGCATACAGTGATGCTTCCTTGCTTGCTCTTGTGTCCGCCGGTTATTGTTCTCTGAACTCGAAGTGTTCTTATTCCGTGCGGCCATTCTTGTTAGTTGAAAGCCATGTGTTGTAGAATTGGCTAATCTTCGAAGCACACCGCGAAACGTACAACGACGATTTTCCGTGGCTTGTGCAAAATCGCTGCAAGGCATCATTTTGCATTTGAACTGCGAAATGTGTTTTTTCAGGACTTGTCAGGCACTTTCATGGCATTATGCACCGTTTTGGAAATAGGCCCCCATAACTCAAACAATCGTCTCCCCCATGTCGCATCGCCCAACATCTTCAACTGCTTCATTTTGTGTATCCTTTTCCTTGAGTCCTATTGATTCAACTGATCGGGGACGAAAATGGGCATGGCCGTACTGCGTGCCCGATTAAGTGAAATCGACCATACTCAATACTCTGTGATCTTCACACCACTTGTAAAAATCAAGCAGTGCGTAATCCCCATTTTCCTGTTTATGGTCAGCTCCAGTGTACATGTGTCGCGAATGCTGTTACCGTTTTGCTTTTGTTGCCGCTGGTAAATCGGCGGGGCCTGGTCCAGTCTGGGGCGATCGAACGGCCTCCTGGACTGGTGGCACGTCCTTCGCACGTCCTGGCGGCTAGTTCGCAACCTGTTATTGGGCTCAGTTGTTACGCATACTACGCTAAACATTGTCGAGGCATTGGACTCTATCCGCTTTGGCTGCGTGTTTCCCTTGGTTACTAGTGCCAGTGTAGGCTGAGGCTCAGTACAAAATGCGGAAGAGCTGATTGATTCTGATCTCACCAGCTGCAGCAAATTTGTTTTGTTTTCGCTGCAGCTCATGGGCTTTTCTGCGATTGTTTCTTCTGAGCCGTCATCGTTTTAGGTGGTGCGTTGTTATTTATTTCTCGTCGGCGCGAATGCCAATGTACAATATATTCATACTGTATGGAATAGTGTTTAATACACACCCGGTGAATTGATCCTGATGTTTTTAGCCGTGATATGTCCTGAGCGGTGCGCATGCCTAAGACTCTGATGAGCAGGATTTGACCTTGCCAAATCCTGACGTGGGACCTCACAACAAAATAGAGTCGAATAAGGCTACCATTATTGATAGCATGGCTCAACTAGCAAACGCATACGACTCATATCCCAGAAAATGATTGCCAAGAAACGCAAAGTCTCATGGGCAAAGCACGTTGCAACAGTGGCATATACGTGCAAGAAGTGCTGTGGGACAGGTGGTTAGAAGAGTGCTGTTAATCAGACGGCTCATCTGGCTCCGGGACCGGTCGAACCATGGTCCGTGTGGTCAAGGGGTGCCGCAGACCCCCAGACGGCTCGGTACGACCGTGAACACTCACTCCAATGACGGCAGAGAGAGGCACCGCCCTCAGGAGTCATCGACCGCAGACCTACTGAAACCTAGAGAGCTCTGAAGCAATGCAGAGGCAGCAGACCTACTGAAACCTAGAGAGCTCTGAAGCAATGCAGAGGCAGCAGACCTACTGAAACCTAGGGAGCTCTGAAGCAATGCAGAGGCAGCAGACCTACTGAAACCTGAGGAGCTCTGAAGCAATGCAGAGGCAGCAGACCTACTGAAACCTAGGGAGCTCTGAAGCAATGCAGAGGCGGCAGACCTACTGAAACCTAGGGAGCTCTGAAGCAATGCAGAGGCAGCAGACCTGCTGAAACCTAGGGAGCTCTGAAGCAATGCAGAGGCAGCAGACCTGCTGAAACCTAGGGAGCTCTGAAGCAATGCAGAGGCAGCAGACGGCAGTCGTGGCCGAAAATATATACGTATGCATATATATATATATATATATATATATATATATATATATATATATATATATATATATATATATATGGAGATAGAGAGAGAAAGTTGGAGACATGCGGAGACCCGCTGAAGCCGTCGCGAGTCAGACGGTAACTTTGTGGCTGCAGGGTTGCAAACATGCCAGGAACGGTTAGGGCTGGGTGGGGTGGAGAAGCGTGTCGGTTTCGGCGGTATTAACCGCATCATCGTCGGCCTCTTTGAGGTTTTTAAAAAAAAGAAGCAAAAACCGAAATGTTTTAGTGAGTCTCTAGATATTCCGGGTTCCGCTCATGCCGTGGAATGCTAATGATGGACTCCAGCATGGAATGGCTGGCAGTACGACAGTGTCCAGTTTACCACACAGCTTCCACCTGGTGTGTTCGTCTGTTAGGCAAACACAGAAATATGGCCGGCAGGTAGCGGGTCACTTTCTTACCAACTATCAAGCTGCGGTCGTGTATTTGGCTTCTTGTATTTCCTAATAATCTTGTTTTCATTTTTAATCGGAAACGGCGTAGCAATGGGAGCAGCATTGCCTCCGTTTCTTTTACATAGTTGGCAAAAACTGCCACTGGCCTTACCCCAGTCCGGGAACAACTGTTGTGTGCAGTACTGCACACTGGAGAAGAACGAGCAGGAATTCATGCGCATAAGACCAGAGCCTGTGCATAAAATATTGTGCTTCACATCAGAAGTGCAGCTAGAGCCTTGGCTACGGGGGGAGGGGGGGGGGGGGGGAGCGACAGAGGGCCCGCTGGCGGTGGAAGGCCCTTCCCCCAGATGCCGAATATGGCTCACTTATTAATGAGGGGCACGGTTTTCCTTTTTTTATCATCACCATTAAACTCCTTAGCTGGGAAGGAGGTTAGGAGCCACCGTAAGATCAATTCCGTCTGAATTTTGAAGTAAATTAGCTGAAGAAATCTGGCGATATCCGACTGCGTGGAATAAATCGCTGGTGACTTTCACTTTCAAATGGTTCAGTGAACTCTTTCTAAGCCGATAGAACTCAGAATCATTACCAAAATTTTGGTCTGGATTCTGAAGAGGTAATGATGATCCCGAAAGGCAGATTGGACGTATAAATTGGTAAAAAATTGTCTGAAAGCGGACCGGCGGACTTAAAAGATGACACATCCGAAAGAAATACCTTTGAACGCTTTAGGTCATCACGTCGCACACGTAGAAGACAGGCCGGCTATGTATTCCACCTGAGCGAATTTTAGATTAATGAAAAGAAAGGATTAGCCTTTACAACGCTGGAATCTGGCGGTGGAAAGGAAAGAGGAAGGAGGAATCTCGATTTTGGTGCTGCTGTTGCTTTCAATCTGCCCAGAGGACATGCTCAAATAAAAAAGACAGGCCCCAGCGCTTAAGTACCAACTGACTTTGAAAAGTTTCCGGAAACAGTGTTTCATGGCGGTCGTTTTCGCACGCGCGGCGTCCGCCGCATGGTACCTGTTGCAGTGGCCAACACCGTTCGGTTTTACGAAGACTGCAAGCCCGGCCATCGCTGTTCTTGCTCCTGAAATTGCAAGCACGCCGGCTAAACGCTTTTTGGGGTAATTTGTTTCCCTGGCAGGTTCCGCGAAAACATATCATGCTCACAGGCAACCATGGGCTGACCTTTTCCAGTTGAATTCATTTTGACCCACTCTATTCAGCACTAATGAGACCCATTATGTTTGCTGGGCAAGGGGCGCCGCGAGAAGAGCACTGGTGGCACTTTATCGTTCCCAGCCAAAAGCTGAATGTTCGTGAAGTGGGCGATTTATTGAGCGATTTTCTCATCAACGAGTCCCGATTTCCCTGAAAAATAGTTTCAAGGTCAATTGTGGCATGAGGACACCAAGAATGACCATAGTTTTGCAATATCATGTGACCTTCAAGGTCAAAGGCTGGCTCAAAGGAAGGGCAACTCGATATCACCCAAAAATTACCGGCCAATTTTCAACTTGCAAATGTCAGAATATTCAAGACACAAAGAACTCGCGTCCGTCCAAAAGTCCTGACCTCTCAAGGTCACTTTTCGAGGTCAAACACGGGCTCAAAGGACAATCACCCAAAAATTAACAAAAATACCTCTCAATGCTTTTTTGAAGACAAGGCTTTTTGACGGATGCTAGTTCTTTCTGTGGCGAATATCTGAATGTTTGCAAGTTAAAAATCGGCCGGTAATTTTTCGGTGACAAGGAGTGCCTCGTCCTTTGAGCCCGCGTTTGACCTTGGAGGGTGACCTTGAGAGGTCAGGACTTTTTAACGGACGCTAGCTCTTTCTGTAGTGAATGTTTTTATCTTTGTAAGTTAAAAATCGGCCGGTAATTTTTAGGTGATGTGGATTTCCCCGTCCATTGAGCCCGCGTTTGACCTTAAAGGGTGACCTTGGGAGGTAAGGATTTTTTGACGGATGCTAGTGCTTTCTGTGGAAAATATTCTGATGTTTGTAAGCCTAAAATAGGCCGGTATCTTTAGGTGGTATGGAGTTCCCCCTCCTTACAGCCCGCGTTTTACCTTGAAGGTTGACCTTGAGAGGTCAGGACTTTTTAACAGACCATAGCTCTTTCTGTGGTTATTATTTTGGCGTCTTTAAGTTTAAAACCAGCCGGTAATTTTTGGCTGATATGGAGTTCCCGTTCTTTGAGCCCGCGTTTGACCTTGAACGGTGATCTTGAGAGGTCAGGACTTTTTGACGGACGCTAGCTCTTTCTATGATGAATGCTCTGATGTTTGTTTGTTTAAAATCGGCCGGTAACTTTTGGGTGACATGAAGTTTCCCGTCCTTTGATACCACGTTTGACCTTGAAGGGTGACCTTGAGAGACCAGGATTTTTTGGCGGACGCTAGCTTTTTCTGTGGTGAATGTTTTGATTTTGGTAAGTTTAACATCGACCGGTAATTTTTAGGTGATATGGAATTCCCCGTCCTTTGATCCCTCGTTTAATCTTGAAGGGTGACCTTGAGAGGTCTGAACTTTTTGACGGACGCTAGTTCTTTCTGTGTTGGATATTCTGACATTTGCAAGTTGAAAATCGGCCGGTAATTTTGGGGTGATATTAATTTCCCCTTCCCTTGACCCAGCTTTTGACCTTGAATATCACATGGTATTACAAAATTAGGGTATTTTTTGGTGTTCTCATGCCACAATTGACCTTGCAACCATTTTTAGGGAAATCGTAACGCATCGCCGAAAAAATCGCTGAATAAATCGCTAACTTCACGAACGGACACAGAGCTGAAGGGCCATTCCGTCCCAGCACAGTGTGCCTTCCGACAGGGATTCTGGCAATGCGGAGTCTCCTTGTCGATCCGGCGGTGGTTAAGGTGATATAATTTTTTTATAACATATTGACCCCCTTCCTTGTGCGGGGGGCTTTCTGACCGGCGGACTTCGCCCCGGATCGACACAAGAACCGTTGTTGATGCAACAAGATCTCTGAACGCCGCACGTTGTCCAATAATGCGCACAGCCTCCAGCCCGGCCTAACGAGTCAATGGCTGGAATGGAATTGCAGGGCTTGGCACCCTCCCCCTACCTCACACCCGAGCCCTCGTACGCACCATTGTGAGCTCCCCTAGAGTTAAGGGCCCCCCGAAAATATCCTTATATTCTGCTCATTAAATTTTGAGACAACTAATATATATATATATATTGAATCAATACGGGAACCCGTCTTACTGTGTTGCGTTCAACAGATTATGTAAAATCCAGGTGGTTATAAGGCTAAGAGTTTCGGAAAAACAAGCTAAATAAAAACGATTTGGCTACAACAACTATCAAAACCAAAGATGGACTTGATTCCTAGCTTATTTACGGCTAGCCGGCTAGGAAATGCAATGAGCTGATGGCTGATTACTAATGCAGATTTGTTCCTTTTTTATAAAGGAGTACAAAATATCCCAGTGATCAAAATATGCTAACACGCACTCGGGTGGGGTGGGGTAAAATTGACTCCGCTGAAAGCTTTTCCGGAATGGTTTCCGAACGACACGGTGTAACCGCACCAAAGTTTGCATAGTTGTAAACAATTGAAAAGCGGATCGTCTGGCATCAAAACATTTCGATGCACCTTGTAAGGCCGCTGACCTATGGCAGGTCAAAGCCAAGGCAAGGTTTCAGCGAAGGCAATTTCTAGGGAATCGTTCAATCTTATCCAACAA